GTCTCATAATAATAATATAATGGAAGTTGGCTAATATGAGTAGGAAACTTTTTCCTTCATTCCCTTTTAAAATGGAAAATTAGATTTCAAAACTGCTTAAGCAAATGCTATTCAACTTTTATGATGGCGCAACGAGATGAGCAATAATGCTGCATGCATGATAAGTCTGCACTGTCATCTCTCATAAGAACCCTCTCCTTGTTGGTTAACTCAAAGCGCTTTGCCCTTCGGATATCATGTTGTGAGCATGAGTCCCACACATCTTTGGCATAAATATAGTTTATCATTAAGCAAGTTGCTCCTATTTGTTACTCGTACTCTTCCTCATTAAATATTAAGAGAGCCGCAGGGCTGGCTGGTGAAAGCATAAAATGGTACGGATGACTCCTTATCAAACAATTTATGCTAAAAGAAAGTGGGAGCTTTGTTTTTGTTATGTATAGAGTTGTAAAATTTTCAAATGGCGGAAGGTGCAGGTGGTGGTGGTATCTGGGTCTGCTATACATACAGATCTATGGCCCCATTTATTTACCCTGCTGCTGCTGGCGAGGAGAGAAAGCATGGCTTGATTTCTCTCTAAGCATATACTTACGTACCTCACGTTCTACCCTGCTGCTCCTCAGCTCCAGCAAAGTATGCACTCATGGAGAGCGAGATGGATACGCAGGACAGATCACAAACATAATTAAACGTGTGCTTTTAGGGAAAATTAAATGAACAAGATCTGAAACTGGAAGGAAAGTGGAACGATGGTGAAAGTGGCTTCTCGGTCCCTTTTTCTTATTGCATTAAACTGGGAACAACATTTCATTTGGTTTTTATTGATTAACTAATTTCAAAGCCATTATTATTTTACTCATCTCACTAACCGCATAGTGTCGTCTCTTACTTTTTATCAGAGTCAAGGCTTAAAGAATCTTCATGTTCCGATCGACTTTCAATTTTATTAACTGCACCAAACATTAAAAATTGTTTTCTTGCAGTAGCCTGAAATCCGGAACGAAAATACAAATGCGTATCAAATATTTTATGTATACTGACTAAGTATATGGGGAAATTAATGCTACTTTAGTAAATACTGGTCAAGGTGGGTGACCCACACTGGTTTTAGAAATTAGGAAAATTAAAAAAGATAATGCAAGCGTATCAAGCTGCTCTGCAATGGCATGTTACGTATTTTATGTTTGTATTTTTATTCATTTATGAGGACAAAGGGTTCTTTCTGTTGAAACAATATTTTCATTGATTTGGTCAAAAGCTGTCCTCTACATGAAAGGAAAAGTTTATTGACAGAAAGTGAAGGATGGGTACTTGCCAAGTTTGTATTTGCCAAAGTGGGCGACTTTTCTTACATTCACTGTCTTCTCTGGAGCAGGAATGGCATGATTCTCAATATATCATTTACAACAAGATTCTTTCTCTCCAGTCGAATAAACAAATGTCTTTAGTTTAGTTTAAGAGAGAAGTCCGATTGTTGTAACATTAGCTCCCAACATAAAACTCAGAGGAACATGGCGGACGGACAATCGTGTGTTGGGTTGCATAACAAATATTTATTCGTGTCAGTCAAATGCACAACTTTCACAGTTTCGCAACATATCATCCAAGTTGAGATCTCCAAACAATCGAAATCACTTCACTCACAATTGTCAGATGAACTTTGAAAGAAGTAGTGAATGTTCTGATCTCTAATTCCACCGCAGTTTTTTTTTGCTCATTCTCTTTCTTCCATGTGAAGAAAGCACACGTTTATGTTCAGTATACGTAGCAAATCCCATGCATCAAATACTTATCAGTATGCAGCACCACAACCAAATCTATTCTTGTGGATTCTTTAAACACGCAGAATGATTTTCACTATATATATATATCCATGTGCAAACCTGCAGGCTTAATAAAGTCCGAGCCAGTAATTTCTCTCGTCTGTTACTTAATTTAGGGAAGTAGTAAATAGGTTGCCTTCCTTTTGAGACCCTTGGCCAATATTTTTCAAAATTGGCATCAATATTGTATATGCGTACATTAATCTAGGCACATATCTAACATATAAAATTTTAGCTTTTTTCACCCTTAGTCGGGTTAAAAACTGCATCCCTGCGTCACCACACATTCGAAACAGTAGGGAGAAACGAAACGAACGAGCTTTGACTTTAAAAGTAAATAATTTGTTCAATATTAATGCATTTACTTACGAGATGGAATTTTCATTTTTGAGAGCAAATTATAATTTGATTTGACAAATTTCTCCGAAACTTTTCAATTTACAAAGATCAAGTTCTGTAAAATTTATGAAAATCAAATTACTAAGTTAGCACAATTTTCTAGGAATGACATTATATATCACTGTGTATAGCGATGCTAATAATAAAGTTGATTGTACTACCTATCTAATTAGATGAGGTAAAAGTAAGAAACAATCAGTTAGTACCCTATTTGTTACTGATGCGAAGTCTTCAGACTTATGTACATGAGCATCCCAGAAGCTGCCTTTGTTGGCATCATCTCCTTTGATTACTGAGTTTGTGTGCGTCGTGGAAAGACAGATTTCCCTAATTTTGTAGACTTTGCTAATTTTAGAGGTTTTAGAGAGCCACTCACTCACCCTCCCTCCAGTGTCTAAGCACTCTCGGTAAAGCATATTGCTATTAACTGCATAAGTAGTTTACGATACAGATAACGACCTAATTGGTTCAAGTCTCTTCATGCTGGTTTGACGGAATTCATGGGTTTATCCCAAAACACTATTTCTCCTACGCTTATTTGTACCAGTCCTTGTCTTTATTGATACGTTTCATATATATGCAAAGATAACACAATTCATGCAAGTGCATGCATAGCATATTACTTTTGCCCATTAAAAAATATTCTTCATCTTTCAATTTCAAACTTTTTAATCTATTTTTTTCTCATTCATTAGGCTCAATTTAAATTGTGCAAAGTTTATCCCTTCAGGTTCAACTATCCAAAGGTTTATGCTCGAAATTTTCACTTGTTTTTCTTTACTTTTTAAGATAATTCATGATTTCTCAAATTATTCTTTCCTCACGATTATGGGAAGCAGGATAAAAGCCTTGGAAAACCTTAGTATCCTCGTTTATTTAACCACCACTGTGCCAACAATATCTCTGGGTTAATCAAGGAAGAATTCCTTTCGATGTCTCACCTCACCCGTCTGCTGACTACGCACACACATAACATAACACACTAACTGTGTTTGTCATAAAAGTTCATTTTACAACGCAACTTTATATCGTATCATCCAAGTCAAAGTCGTACGTTTTAGAAAGAAGCCGAGACATAATTCTGAAGTTGGTTTGATGAAGATGTAACAACATTTCAACAAAATTCAGCAAATAGAGCCTTTGGCAGTGGAGAAAGTGCAATCACCGGCTCTGATCCTGCCCTCCTCCCATCAAACACCACACACAAACTGGCTGGGTGGGTGGCTAGTTGTGTTAACAAACTAGATTTGAAACGATGTTTTGGAAATCAAAATCTTTTTCGTAGATCCAAGAAGTGTAATTTTATACTTTTATGTTCCCTTTGTGAAAAAATATCCTGATTGAAAACGGAGATACAATCCTCATCCCCATCCAAACTAATAAACTCAATTCACTCGATCAGATTTCTGGATGTACAGCGATCTGACATGAGAAGAAGCAGAGAATCCGAGAAGCTTATTTGTCATCCTATTCACAATTGATTTTTCCAGTCTTGTATGTGGGCGTGGTGTGTGTAGTGTTTGAAACCAGTAAGTTTAATCGTGCTATGCACGTCTCACTTGCCTCCGAAATACATATTACTGAACAATGTATTACTGAACAATCCTCAAATAGCTTATACAAAAAAGAGTTGTGCTTTTGAGCCGATTTTCATGGTTGATTGGAAGCATGAAACTTGAAATAGGGACCAAATATGTTTATATTACTACATACAGCGACGAAATTAACAATTAATATGGAGGATTTATTTTCTTTGAATACTAAGTACTGGTGGAGTAATTGCGATGGATGCAATTCATATGACAAGATTAAGATTTGTCCACGTTGACTTTTCCAGACAAGGGAAAATCCAAACTAGTTTCATACAAATAATTTACCCTCGAATTAAGATGACAATCTTGCCCTATGCTTGATATAGCAGGATCAATATAGGTCATGGATGCAAAGGAATAATATATTTGCATCGCAGTAACATGCGTACACAATTACACAAAAATTGATTGGTCAAAACGAGTTTGTCTCAAATGGTACTACGATATTCAATGGGACGTGGTGTGTGGGATACAAGACGAAAGGAGAAATGCAGGCAGCCACCGTCATCTACAATTTTGTCAGTTACTTTATATGACCGTCAGGTAAGTTCGTCCGTCCGTCGGTATCTACTTTATGGGAGCGTTTGCTCGGCTGTCCATTTATCCTTACGAAAATCTAGATAAGCAATCTGTAGCCTGTTCATAAGAGCATGTCATTTTAATTTGAAGGGCAGGAATTGAATTAAAGATCGAGGTATTAAACACGACGGGTTTCACAAATAAATTTAGCTCAAAATTAGTAATCTCACCACCCCTCGCACGAGAACGTGGTTTGAGGAAAAGTAAGTATTATGCATATGATATCCTAATCTAATTTTGCTCTTGGGTGGTTAATATTAATACGTATATATTGTTGTGAGGGGTGTTAAAGCTGAAATACCGACCTTAAATCGAATGTGCTTCCGCTACTTGTTTATATCTGTTGACCATAATTTTTACAGATTGCATTAGTCGCATTAATATCCGTAGCAATAGCATTATAATTTTATTATAGCATTATAATGCTATTATAATTTTTTTTAATCAATAGAGGTTTTCCCAACCCACCTCGACCAACATCGAGTTTTTCTTCTACTCCCTAAACCCCAAGCTAACTAAGTGTAATATGAATGTGCTTATCTTGCTCATAATTTAAAAGAGTTGAGGCATTATAAATAAATATTTATTCTATTTTTTTCAGTTAGTTGGGTTGGGTAGCGCATACTTGTGCATGTGGACGAATCGCCGTCTGCCTCTCTCTCAGTCAAAAAGTGACCGGTAAAAAGTGCGATCTGTTTCCCTCTCTGCTGCTTACTCACAACGGCCGCCTTTTCTCTCTCTCCAGCAGCAGCAGTTACAGAACAGGACACAGGATTGAACACGATTTATTCAGTGGAAAGAAAACCAGTCTGTACTACTTATCCAGAAGACAAGGAGGAGGACGACACTTTCACTCGTTTTCGCCGCAGGACTAACACTTATCATCATCGTCGTGACGTTGTCATTGGTTTGGTATGTCAAATTTCTATATTTCTACTAGTAGTTGACAATTGTGTGTAGTTATTTATAAAAATATGTCGTAGCGTTAGCTTTACGTCTTATAAATCAAAATTTTATCTCACAGGAAGGTACGCGAGTTTATGCATTAACTTCATCACTGATATTAAGCATCATGGACCCGTCGGAGGGAAAAGAAGAATTGAAACTATTTGGTTGGATGAATTTTTCACGTGCTGATTCAAAAAAGTCTTCTAGTGTAAGTGATAATAACATCGTTTTTACCCTTAATTTATGAATCACGGTGATCTAAAACAATTATTAATGATGGTTAATAGAAATGTGAAGTACTACGGCTATCAACTGTGATCGGGAGGGATCAAAGTCTCGATTTACGAATCCACGACCCAAGGATTTCCCGTCGTCAGTGCGAACTAATCATTACTGGAAGCGAAACTGAAGAGTATACGGTATTATATTGCTTGCTCACATTTCAAATATACAATATTCGCCCTATAGGAATGATATGATTTATTCGGTGAATTTAACTATTATTTTTTAGGCAACTATCAAGAATCTGACCTCGCGTAAAACTACTGTTGCCAATGGACATGCACTGGAGGTGGACGAAACAGTCGTTTTGAATGACAGCGTAGATCTTCGTCTGGCTAATTACATTGCTTATTGGACACCGAACTTAACAATATTTGGATCACCAACATTAGGATTAAAGTCAAAGTTGAAATTTGACTTGGGAGACAACAAACAAGAACTAGATAAAGAGAACCAATATGTTGATGCAGGAAATAAGGAAACGCCCATTCAGGCATCACCTGGACATGAAGATAAAAAAGTTCGTCCAGGTCCTTCTCGTCGAGCTAAGGAGTCGGAAACCAGCAAGTCACCGCGTCAAGAAGATCCACTTTCCCCTCCGAAAGAAGACCGCTCATTACTGGAATCTGATATGAAAGAATGCTCGATCAGACTGGAGCGAGTGAGCGTAACACCTCATGTGAAAACGCCTAAGGTTCAACTGGAGGCACTTTCAGTTGAACAAATAAGTAAAGCAACTGCTCTAGGTAAACGTACCATTAAGGTCAACGACGAGCCTGAGATGCTGCCTAAATTGCGAAGAGGTAAACAAGTTGCTAGCGACCAAGAAAAAGTGGAGAAGCCGAAAGCTACGCGACGTGGCAAACCTACTGCCAGGAATACTGTAATTGAAACAAAAAATGATGCTGATAATGAAGTGATCCATGAACCTAAACCACGACGGGTTAAACAACCAATTGAACCTACAAGTGACACAGATGATGCTGATAAGCCAAAAGTGACACGACGAGGTAAAACTGTCGCTAAACCTGTAAAAAGTCAAGCGAGCAACGACACTGAAAAACCTCGTCGAGGTCAACCAGCAGTTCGAGACATAGAAGAGGCTGATAAGCCAAAAGCGACGCGACGAGATAAAGCTGCTGCTAAAGATGTTGAAATTGAACCCACCAACCACAGTGATATGGATCAAACTGAAAAAGCTAAGCCAAAATCTCGACGGGGTCAACCAGTAGTTAGCGACACAGATGATGCTGATAAGCCAAAAGCGACACGACGAGGTAAAACTGTTGCTAAAACTGTAGAAAGCCGACCAACCAAGGACACTGAAAAACCTATTCGGGGTCAACCAGCAGTTCGGGACACAGAAGAGGCTGATAAGCCAAAAGCGACGCGACGTGGTAAAGCTGCTGCTAAAGCTGTTGAAATTGAATCGGACTACAGCACTGAAAAGGCTAAGCCAAAATCTCGACGGGGTCAACCAGTAGTTAGCGACACAGAAGATGCTGATAAGCCAAAAGCGACACGACGAGGTAAAGCTGCTGCTAAAGCTGTTGAAATTGAAGAAACGGAAGAAACTGAAAACTCTAAGCCAAAATCTCGACGGGGTCGACCGGCAGTTAGCGAGACAAATGATGATGCTGATAAGCCAAAAGCGACACGACGAGGTAAAGCTGCTACTAAAACTGCTAAAATTGAACGGAGCAACGATGCTGGTACGCATGAAACCGAGAAACCTAAACCTCGTCGGGGTCGACAAGCAATTGAACCTACAGCCGATACAAAAGAAGCTGGTAAGCCAAAAACGATGCGAGGAGATAAAACTGCTGTCAAAGTTGAACTTGAATCGAAAACCACTGGACTCAAAACAAAAAAAACTGAAACTCCCAAAGTTCGTCGAGGTGGCAATGAAAAACTTGAACAATCTTCACCGATATCTGATGTACCAGCAAAACGCGCACGGCGTGAAGAGGCGACGACTGAAGTGAAAAGCGGACGAGTTACGAGAGGCAGAAAGTACTAATTGTGGCTTGAATTTTTACGGGAAAAATGTTATTTTGCTAAGAATGTTAGTTATAGTTAGTTGGTACGCTGTACTTTTTTTCTATGTTTACCTTTTTCATTTTTATAACTTAACAGCCAAATATCTATGTATATATACAGATTACAAGCTAAAATAGATATGGTTTTCACTTTATTATTTTTCTACTCATCTACTGTTTGGAAATTCTACCGTTGACAATATTATCGTATTGCGTGACCTCGAGTTCAAAATTTGTTGGAAAATAATACATACTTAGAATATGTAGAATTTCTATTAAAGTTCATGATGGTATAGTAAAAATTTTTATAAATATTACTTCGGGTGGTATACTTTGCTCAAAAAATTGTTTCACCATGAATCCATGTCATTTTGTTAATAGAATACAAAAATCAGATCCATGCTTTATGCATTTCTGTATGGGTTGCTTTAATTTGAAATGCATTTAGCCATAAGAAAACAAAGGGAATCATACAGATTATTTTTGAAATAATTGCTGGGGCCTGTTGCATAAACATGTTACAATGACAGTTGACAGGGCGACAACGACAATTACAATTTATAGCTGTTGCATATAAAATTCATTGACAAGTACTGGACCTCTGTCAAACTTTGACAGGTTCCTGTCATCATCTCTCATAACAACTTAAAAATTTGTTTAGATTAATTTGTGAATATTTCAAAATTAATATTTAAAAAATCACAAACAAATTCCCTCCACACTACATTTTCGCACACCTTTAATGTGCCCACTTTTTTCGCCAAGCCATCACCAATAATTATAATGTATGCAGGGTTGTGACCCAGGTTTTTATTGGGTTGGATTTTTTGGGTTTTAATAGGGTTTATGAGTGAACCCCATTGGGGTTTACCATGTTAAATGGGTTTTATTTGGGTTTTAGTGGGATTTACCTTAAAAATATCTCTCATACGTTAGACGAAGCTGTTTCACGGCAGCTAGTAGTTTATTTATTAGTAGTATATTATTTGTAGGTTTTGAAAACCCGGAATAAAATGGGACAAAGCACCATCCTTACTATCACAGGTTTCATGTGATACAAAAAATAATAATTTAAGAACCGATACAAATTCTAACACGGACAAGGAGGATTTGCGTCTGACTGGAATTGAATATGCAATGGTTTCGAAAAAGTTGAACTTCGTTAAAACCCAATAAAACCCATGGGTGGTTACTTTTTGATTAAAATTCTGGGTTCTTCAGAACCCTTTATGTATGCATGCATGTCACTGGAGGAGTAAATACATCTTTTTGCTCCTCTTAAAAACAAACATTAAATCGTATTGTGTAGGTCGTGTTCCACACAAGTCCTTCTTGCGACCTCATTCCAGTACCTCATTTGGCGAGGCGTCAATAGTGGGTGATCCATAAATTATGTCACGCAAAAATCACGATTTTCTAGACTCCCCTTTAACATGTGTCACATAGGCACGATATCATTGTAGCCTTGGACCTCCCCTCCCCTCTCGCGTGACTTAATTTATGGACGGTCCCTAGATAGTAATTCATACAAACGATGTTGATATTTATCCAATCGAGAAATGACGATTCGTTGAAAAATAATTAAACGTGGTGGATTTGAAATCAAACACATTTTTCGCTATAAAACCCTCGACGTCACAATTGCAATGCGATAGACACCACGCATGACAAAATTCAATTTTCGACATTTGACCCCGTCCGCACGGTCAAAGGATCATCGTATTCGTACATCTAAATGTGGGCGATTTCTGTAATTCCTACCCCAAACTACGTCTAACACGATCGCAACAAAAAATTCGGCATTTTTAAATTTGGAGTCGTCTACACGGTCACGCGGTCATCGCACATCAAAACCATGTTGATTTTTGAAATCCTCGCCCAAAACTATGTCTAAAACGGTCGAAACAAAAAATTCGACATGTTGATTTATAAACATATTAACCCCTTTGTGACCGAAATAATTGAAATTTGCTTTCCTTTGGAGACCAGAATTTTATCAGTTAGTTGTTGCTACATAACCAATTTAATTTTACCAATAGTGTAGCTACGTCACCAAAATGATTTTAAAGTAAGCGTAGTTACGTCACCGATTTCACAGTGGGTGTGCGTCGTTTCCTAACTTTGTCCAATATGCATATGGTAAAAATTTCAAGTCAATCGGTTCAGCCGTTTTGGCTCTATCGTGCCGGACAGACAGACGGACGGACGGACATGACGGTTCCATAAGCCCTGACTCGGGCTAAAAACTTTTAATTTCCAAAAAATTCTCGTTTTTGCGTCTTTAAAAATTCATTTTTTTTTAAAATTCCGTCACGGGCGAAAACATACCTATTCTGGAAAACGCCAAAATACGCTTATTTCTGAGCGTGAACAATTTAAAATTAGTCCTACAATGCATTGCAGCGAACTACAGTTGTAGTTTTTGCAGATATATAATTTTTGGTAATGTGCATAAATAAATGATCCGTATTAAAATTTTGTAAAATAAAATTTTGACTTGTATGCATGTGTGTATTTGGTCTTCTTGAAAATTTTTCCGCAGTACACAAATGTGTGTAGTTGGTCCCCAACGTAACGGGGAATTAGTACACAAATATGTGTACTTGGTCCTTTACGGAAAGAAAAAAACTACACAAATGTGTGTAGTTGGTCCCCAACGTAACTACAAAATAGTACACAAATGTGTGTACTTGGTCCTTAACGGAAACCAAAAAAGTACACATATTTGTGTACTTGGTCCCCAAGGGAAAGCAAAAAACTACACAAATATGTGTAGTTGGTCCTTAACGGGTTAACGATTAAATCAAATTCGACAGGGAAAAAATATCTGAAATATCTGTGTCAACTTTTAAATACAATCTGACAATTTGTTGTCAAATTGAATTTTATGCAACAAACTTTGGAAATTTACTTGACAATTTTATGTCATGACAGCAAAAAAATTCCTGTCGCTGTCAATTGTCGTAAATTATATGCAACCGAAATTCGTGACAATTTTGAAAATTGTCACGACATTTCGACAAGTTGTCGCGTTGTCATGTTTATGCAACGAGCCCCTGGTCAAAGTTTTCACAATGCACGCATTGTGAGCATTGCATTGGTGACCACCATCTAGATGGCTGAATAGCTAAAGTTGGAAAAATTTGGTAGCGAATTCGGCTAAAATAAACGACAAATTTCAGCTAAATTAGGGATGCATTAAATTTAAATTTAACCCCGATTCACGCATATATATAATACTCGTTTTCCGTTGACAAGTTTTCGTCTAAAGATGAGAAGGTCCAAGAATGAATCAGATCAGCGTCATACCAGCGTAATGCAGCTCTATGGTGTCATGAAAGTTACACAGATAAGTGGCAGTATCAAGTTTAGCTAATTTCTCATATACAGAATACGATTTTCTCTGAAACTTGGTCACCCATACAAGCAAAACTATATATGCATTTTAAAAAATCCATATTTCCGTTTTTACGCACAATAATTCTCAGCCCCATATTACGCTTGGTCACAAAGTACGGAAGTGTTAATTAAAACGGCTAATCGCTTGCTATGCTATGTCACGTTATACAAAGTTATCGCGTTCGTATTTATTTGTGCCAAATGATGGATGACACTCGACTGACTCTAGAATTGTTCATTCAAGAAGCGTCCTGGCTACACTACGTCGTCCTACATATCATTAGCATAAATATTCATTAAATGAACGGTGAACGGCCGTCCACCAACCAACCACCACGAATGATTCGTTGCGTGTAATAATTGGTTGGTGTGATAAAGTGCGAACAATAACAACGCAAGTATTTTTATTATGCACTTGACCATACGTGAAGAGTGAGATGGGATGCTTCATTAGAAAAAATGTGCTGCACACCACACTCGCCGACCCGATGATACACCATCGTCTAACTAAAACAATTAAATTTTCAATCAATTTATCGAGGATGAGCAAAGCAAAAAGATGCAAACAAGTTCATGGTGCATAGTTTTTTGATGACGAAAGCACACGAATGGGACAAATGAAAAAGGCAAACCACTTTGAGAATTGTAAAATCGTGGACAGTTCGCATTTCCTTCCGCTTGTTATCGAAAGCACAGACTAGGCGACACGACGAATTTATACGTGCCGTAGTTTAGTATTTGTCAGGTCATTAAAAAGACTTTATTACTACGAGTGATCAGGATTAATTGTTCTCTTTATACACATGCCCTCATAATCTTACCCCCAATTTTTAAAGTACGGAGGACAACGTATTTTTATATAATTCTTATTACACCTCACAAATTCGCATTATATATGTTACTCAAATCGTCGAAATATATGTACAGCCCCGACTCTTAAAGTAAAACTAGATATATGGTAAAAATTAAGTAAATGTGCTGAGGACAATTTAGCATGGGTAATCTGAATCAGCTCAACTGCTAAATAGGAAGAATATTTAATAATCGCTTAAGTCCTCGTTAGAGCGATGATTAGTGGCCGTGATTAGTGTTTCAATTAGTTTTTTTTATTTTCAAGAGCAATGATATCCGCTGAATAAGATTAGTTTCAATTTATTTATTTATCAAGCAGCGAATTAAAAGAAATATCTTTAATGCAGATGCAATTTTTATTTCCATACATTTTTATTTACGACGACTTCAATTTAATTTGCGTACGATGATGAATTTTAAAAAAGACGTCATTGAAAACTACTGAAAATTTTCAATTTACTATCATAGATAGAATTCATAACATCATTAAGTCATGGCTGAATTTTCAGAAGGATCCGGAAGTAGGAACTATAGGGGTATACGGAGGCCAGCCACCCACCATAAGCCACCCACCAAAAGCCACTCACCAAAAACCACCTTCCATAAGCCACCGTAGGAAATAAGCCACTTCTAGAAAAAGCTACTCTTATCATTGTCATTGATAAAACCTAGTTCAAGCAACTTTGCGGGGCCTTTTAAGATCGCATTATTCACTGAAAGTCACACCCGTAATATAATTTCGTGATATATTATTAGTACAAACAGTCACAGAAAACTCGGAGTTAAAAAAAAACAATTGAGAGACTGTATTGATATTGTTAAATATCAAATCAGCTATTTACATAACATTACAAATTTTAGGAATGTGAGAACGGTTAGGGCAATAAGCGTTCCGATCCCTTTCGGTGCCTTTAAAATTTTTAATTGATGTTGAATTCTGCAGAGGTCATTCTCCTTGAATATCTTCAAATTATGTATCCCTACACCACTCTTAGAAATCCAGTATCCAGTATTAAAACTATACCAAGCTGTATTCAGATATACTAAAAAAACTCAACTAAAGTGGTATTGGTAAGTAGATACTATTGTGTAGTAATAATAGCTCGGTATTAAAGTTTTAATATATTAGTATCAATTTTTTACGGACGGGATAATTTTAATACCAAGAGGTAGTAATTTTAATACCGAGAAATCAATAACTGATGATTTTTCATGATCTGGTGTGACTTATACCAGGTTTCTCAAACATGATTTGCGGAAATCTCCCGTCCACCGACTCCCGCCCGCGTTCTTCCGCCCATTTACACCCGCCCGTGGAAATCTTCCGCCCACCGACTCCCGTTGACCCTCTCCCGCCCGTGAAAATCTCCCGTCCTAATCATCTCCCGCCCGTAATTTTTTTGAGTACCTGATCTTTTTGTTAACATTTAATAATAATACATAACACAACATATTTAAGTTAATATATATAAGTATTTATTTAGTCAATAGCATTAAGCATCAATCATGTAACCCGTGAAAAGCACAGTCAGTATACTTTTACAAAACGAAAAATAACAATACGCGAAATAATAATGAATACATTACAAATCGGACACCCTCACTTAAATTAATAAAGAATGATCAAAATCATTACAAACGAATAATCTGTACAAATTATCGGAATCGGATACGGTAGGCAACTTATCATTAAGAAAAAGGTTGTTATTAAGAAAAGGGTTGTTATTAAGAAAAAGGTTGTGGCATATGTATTTCATTTCCTGTACCTGTATGTTGCCTAAATATTCTTGTATATATTCATTGAATAATTTGTAATTAATAATATAAATAATTCGAAAATTTGTTTAATTAGATTATTCGTTTGGAATGATTTTTGTCCTTCTTTAATAATTATTCTATTATAGTAATAATTATAATTAATAATAGTATTCATTATTATTTCCCGTGTTGTTATTCTTCGTATACAAGTATACTGACTGTGCTTTTAACGGGTTACAGGAGTGATGCTAAATGCCAAAAAATCTTGTACTCGAAGAAAAATTACGGGCGGGTGATGATTAGGGCGGTAGATTTTTACGGGCGGGAGATGGTCAACGGGAGTCGGTGGGCGGAAGATTTCCACGGGCGGGAGAAAATGGACGGAAGAACGCGGGCGGGAGATCGTGGGCAGGTTGCTTCCGTATACCCTCAAACATCACTCACATCCCAAACTTTAGCAGAGGTAGAAAATATTTGAAAATCTACGTCAATTTCGGTGCTCCGAGGTCTCAGGTCATACGAAATTTTAGCTGCGTACAACATATTTCAGAAATTTGCATAGGTTACTCTATCGAGTCCCCTAGAATTTAAATATTAAATTTCCAGCTCGTTTAAACACAAGGAATAAGCGTAGTCCCACCCCCGGTTTATTAATAAAGATGATGATTATAAGAGTAGCTTTTTCTAGAAGTGGCTTATTTCCTACGGTGGCTCATGGAAGGTGGCTTTTGGTGAGTGGCCTTTTGCTGGGGTGGCTTATTTCCTTGAGTGGCTTATGGGGAGAGGCTTTTGTTGAGTGGCTTTTCGTGGGTGGCTTATGGCTGGTGGCTTACGTCCGCAAATCACTACAGGCCATAACACTAAAATTAATAAACCCTAAATTGTTTTTATCTTGGACAAAGTATTTGGAACCTGGAATATCTGCTTGTTTAGCAATTTTTAGTAAATCACCTACCTTTTATTGCACAATTTCTGGAGTTTTAGGGAAAAGACATCAAAATTGCACGCCACATACTTATTATACATCATCATTCATTTATAAGACATATGTACATACGCATGCACGAGAATTGTCGAGTATATCGCCCATCTTGTTAAGCATTTCAGTTTCAAGGCAGTTGACATTGTTGGTCGTAGTACGTACGGCATGGCGAAAAATCATTTAGCTGCATGGAGCAATTCTCATTTATTAGCATTATTTATTGTTACACTGTTCCTTGCATTTACACTTTGCCTCCGGTGGACATAGGTATATCAGTACATGATACTATATGCTACTCGTTATATACATAAATATAAGTCTATACTTACTCTCTTTTTGTATTTTGGGGTAAAATAACCTTTTCCTACTACCTTTCCTACTCAGGAATGGACCATGTCTTCATAACTTCATGTTTTAGGTATGTATAAGATTGTATGCTAACTTTAACTTTATATGTAAGCATCTTGATGATTAGGCTATCCTCTAACAAAGCAGTGCAAATTATAATGCTTACTACTCTTGGATTAGTTATAAAACAATCAAGATGTTCCAACGCTAAGAACGAAAGAGATGTGAGACTTCTTTCTAGCCCGAGCCAGAGACGAAGGTGCTTATTTACCTCTGCGTTCCTTTCTCTGTGTGTATGTGTAGAACTCGATATATTTATTTTAACTTGTCATACTGATCCCAGATTTTTCCGTAGTTGAAACATATCATAGTAGAAATTACATAAGTTCTCGGTGCATTCGTTGACTGGTGGAGGTCATACATAAGTGGTGAAGCTAACTGGCATCAAATTTTATGCATATATATTATACGAAGTTTTCCAACAATTTTAATACCTGAGGGCCTAACAAGGGATGACCCAAAATTTGTTTTAATTAATCGAAAAAAAAACAGAAATTTTACATGCTGGATACTTGGAAAAATTGAATGCAGAATAACGATACCACTTTTCTAAAATACTGATCTGGGAGTCTCGAAGGATAATGCCACTTATTTTTGAAACGAGCTATTAAAAGCGAGAAAATGATGGGGAAGTGTGCACTCCGTAGGTTTTCTTATTAGCTACATGCATATTCTATGATTACTTACTTGCAAATGAATTAAATAATTCCAAATACACAATGCGACTACTTGCACTTATACTTTTCCACAAAAATTATGAACCGACAATTACAGTAGACAGACACATTCCCCGTAAGTGCAACGCATTCAAGAGCTGTTGTTTCACAGGTAGGTTTTGGTTAGTAGCTTCATGACTGAATGAGACGAAGATGCCAGCACCTCAGGTGCAGAAGGAGACTTGCCTACCTGCACATAGCGTAAATCGTGAAGCAAAGTTGTGCAGGTGTAGGAGTTCAACTTGGCTTCACTCGATCTTCAGTCTTTTCCCAGCCTCCGACCATCCAAGTTACGTCAGTGAGACTCACTATTTTCATACAACTTCATGGCTTGCATAGCCATCGCCTTATAAAAATCCATGCATTTTTAGTCGTTAAGTTTGCAAAGTTTTATGTAATCAAAAACCATTGAAAGTGATCTTTAAGCACATACCAGTTTTAATAAGAGTAGAACAAACATAAATTTACAAATGGATCTCTTATAAAATAGTGGAAAACTAGGAAAATTACTGAACCGAATTCGTAGGGGGGTTTGTAGTTGATCGTGTTGTATGTAGTTTGCAGCAACAAACAATGAACTCTTTTGTGGATGAGATCGACGCGGACTTTATGTCATGACTTGAAGCGAATCGCTCTTGTTCAACATTCGGAAGTGCAGTTTTGAGGTGATTTAACTAAATCCACGTGCAATATCTTATCAAGAGTTCAATATGTACAACCATCACAAAAGGATGCTTCCAAAAAGGGTAAGATTGAGATTCTGATCTGAAACGATACCTTCACAGAATTCGCTCAGCATATATTGCCAAATGCAACAAATAAAATTACAAAACATGGCTCAAAAAAATGGACTTGTTACGCAGAATGAGAGTATTAATTGTTGAATTAAAATTGCCCCTTAATTAATAACATGGAGCTTGCCAAACATTTCGTAGGAAAAGATCTCAATTTAATTTATTGCCTACAAGTTTGTTTGTTGGTTGCATGAATATTTATTATTGATGAAGATGCGCAAACATCTTGAAGATGTCCAACCACTTTAATCTTGTCCGTAACCTTGTGCAAGACGAAAAAATTGGAATCCCTTGCAGCGATTATATTGTTATGAAGGGTGAGCGAGAACTATGCAATGAGCTCATGTACTAAATCCTACGTATCGACTCAATGGAATTACACGTGTGGATAAAATACTTGATACTGTACGATGGTATAGCATGCAATAATAATAGTGGAGAGGAGAATTAGTGATGATGATCCAGTTTTTTTGCTCGGAGCCTGGACCTTCCTTCTCGGGAAAACTGATCTCATCCAAGTTGAACCTGAACTTGATCTGACAATCTGTCCGTCCGTTGAATATATAGAGATCTCTTGTTCAAAATTCCAAACTGCGTAGCCAAATCAAGTGGTTGGGTAGCGAATAATAAAGAAATAAACAAAAACCACGCTATTCGGATCTCAATATGTATTAACTTAGGCCTAACATCAATCAATACACACTTTAATTGCTTACAAGCCTTGTGTCAAGTAAAAAATTAAGAGGATTATGTGTCATGAATTTTAAGTATGCAGTAATAATTGGATCATCTGCTTACATACGATGATGACTGAATTTAGATACATATTGGCTCTGTTTTGTCTGGTAACTCCAATAAAACTACCGTTGAGGCTGCTGCTGGATATATTTGAAGAGGTTGCTGTGCATTAAGATAAGCTTTGGCAGGATAAAATATGATTATTAAAAAGTTTGGTGTTCAATTGTAAACAAAAAGTGGACGATGGTAACGTGGTTGAATATAGTGGGAATTGTTGTACATGCATGTTTTACAACCGCATCTTCATCCTTTGTATGACAATAAGGATTGCATGTACATAATCCAAATCCACTCCTCCAAATTTTTAGCAAATTCAAGGCCGATTTACTACATACTCATTAAAGCTCATCTTCATCGAAGCTTTGCCAATTCTGCCTTCTCAAGTTGCAAATTGATGAATTTATGCAGGATTATAGACCTCACAAGGGTATTTGGTATTTGCACAACGTGTGCATAATGGAAGAAGTTAATTTTTTTCAATTCTCCAGTACTTACCTTCAACCTTAACGACTTTAACACGACAATCTCTGTTTATTTATATAATATTTGGTGAAAACATGTATACATTACACGTACAAAAGTACAATATGCGTCATGTGATGTTATGGGTCATTTCTTGAAATTCTGACACACCGATTATTTTTAGGGATCAATATTTTGGTTATAAATAAATGGGCACCTTGAGGCAAAGCCGGTGCTAGATTTATACTTTTGTTCGAGTTGAAGTAAGAAAATTACAAATTTTATACCATTGGCAGTAGTGGTTCGCTAAAGGAATACCTGACGAGAAGCTAGTCTATGCAGTATTTAGGGTCCGGGTGTCCTGGATGCTATTTGGTTTTGCGTTCATAACCATAAATTAAAAGATGTTTAATTCGCATAATTTGCATTCATTGTATCATAAAAAGTGTAATCATAAGAGAACGAGTTATCCTTAATAAGGACAAATCTGGTTTTGTTGGACGAAAAACTTTTGCTTTCGTTGCATGAAATATATATATGTAAATGTACATATCTGTAAATACTTAGGCTGGATTGCAATGAACTTGAACTTTGTTTGATCTTTCCAAATCTGCGTGCACTACTTCACTTTTGTATTGTCTTTGTTGTCGTTAAATTCTGCATACAGATATAAACGAGCAGCTCATTTTAGCACACATAGAATCTCGGAACTTTCAATGATTATGTGCATAACAGAAATTTATAATGCTCCTGATTGTTCAAGATGAAATTAAATTTGATAAATCAGCCGGATGCTACGCAAAGAATGAACAACAATTTCCATAAATTAGTACCCAAAGAATTCATCTGCAGCTCAGACTGGGTCTCATTTTAAATGTAAATTATTTCCACAATAATTGCAAGCTCCTGACTGGAGATCAAAGTATTGTGTAATTTCAAGTCAACATCGTGATGAGGAAAATCACTTTTTACAAGTAACTCTGAATCTTCTTCATTGTCATCTCATCCAACTAATAGTAATGTCGCAATTTTATCAATTGTACCTCTTTTGCTGCATTTTCATTGCGAACCTTGAATTTGTTTCATTGTGTTCTTTACGAAATAACTTTGTTTCTTTATCTAATTGATTGAAAATTGAAAACTAAGGTTATTCCTACGTTTATGTTTGAACAAATGCCAAAATGATTAATCTCGATTCCAAATGAGTTCTTCTCTCCAAGCACCAATGAATAAGCGACAATCGCGCTAATAAATAAAGATTTGCACTTCAGACAAAGGCCTAGCGTTGTTGGATGGAGAGGTTAAAAGAGATGTTCAATAAAGTACTAAGGAATTCACGATGACGATTCTCGAATGGGTTCGATTCTTCTCCAAATATGGGCTCTGCCAATTACTAATTATATTTTAGATTTTGAACCCTAACTATTATTTTGATTCTATACGATAGTCTACCACACCAACCACCAAGAAAACAATGAGTCGCGTCTCCTCCCCGAATATTAAAAAGGAATAAACATCTTGAATTGATGGAGAAGGTTGAGGCGAAAGAATGAGTGTGCTCTATGCGCATATTTACATTCTTCACACTTTTTTCATCATCAACTAAAAAAACAATTGCACAACGGATTTCACGTTGAACTGCTTAGGAATTATATGGTCTACTCTTTTCGCTTTGTTACATTTTTTTGTACAAACACGACCACCCGACAACACAAAAGAAGAGAGAAAAAATCCAGGAAATTTTAATACTTCTGTCTAAAAGTCATCATCACTTGAAAAACAAGCAGCCGCGTGGGGATGAGCTTGTGTTTACATAACCCGTTCGTACGCTGACTGACGAAGTTATGTCCTAATCGCTTCATTTTTGCATTATAGATTAAATACGAGTTAGAGGAGTACAGTAAGTGTAATGTTCTCCCAGAGGCATTGTTCAGTCATCCGAATACATTTCAGCTTTGCATTGTTGCAATTAGAATGCAGCCTGTGCCTACGAAAACGGGTTGGTGTGGAAGATGCTGCTGCTGCACTGATCACAACTCGTGGAGTTGTTTTCATCTTGGACAATAAACAATACAAGATTTGAATTGCGTTGAATTTCAAAATAGTCAGTGTCGGCAGAAGGGATCTCTCCTGACCACCGAGTACAATGGGTTGGAATACGAGATGAAGATTTTCTGGTTTCCTCATGACGGGTGAAAATTGATGAGGACACTGAGCCAGCGTGGATATGATATGACGATTTTGCTGTTGCTGCGCCTTGATTTTTTTCATAATGCGGTGCAGTAGTAGTTTAATAACCATGAGTTGCAAATTCGTACGACTGCCCAAAGAAGCAGAATGATTAAGTGCTTCAGGAAATGGAAGAGGTTTTGTAAATTACAAAAGGTTTTATGTCGTATCAAATCCTCTGAAATATTATTTTTGCAAACCGGGCACAAAATGCATATCTATTTTAAATTGCAATCTGGATGATACTTTGTACATACGAATGTACAATAACACCAACATGGCGTGGCAGATTTAATCCGGATAAGAAGCAATCGTAACAAGTTGTGGTCGCACAGAGTTGTTTGAAATTGGTTGGGAGCAACGTTCTTCTTAATTATTATGTGAACAAATGCAATTTCTTGAGGACTGGAATGTTTGGTCGCATTCAAAGGAAGTCACACCAACACCTCCCAGCCCTAGAGCAAAATCATTGTTGCGTATGCATATTTGTGTATATATTGCTCAGCTCTCACTCCAGCTCTACATGTAATAATTACAAAAGATCTTTGATTTGTTGTGGCATAATTGTCGGAAAAGGAAATGAATTTCAAATTGGAGAAATTACGTGATAAGAGCGCAATGTGTTGTTGGGATAGAATAATTTGATCCCATCTGTTCTTTCACTTGGCACCCGTTATTTGTTACTAAATTCACTCTCCCTCAAGCAAATCAAGAAACGCAAATCGAAATACGCGGAAACATACTTTGGTAGAAGGAATAGGTTAAAGTGTGTAAATCCAATTTAATGCAGCATGAATGACATTTAAACCATTTACTTGACTGAAGCGAAAGACAGTTAGGTTTTTGACCTCTTGGCTCATTATCACATCACACTCAGCCAAAAGAGGATATTAGCCATTTGAACACTTCATACGTACATATGTACATGCATAGCTTCCGAGAACTTAAAAAGCGGATAATGATTTTTGAGTGTGCATAGTGTGGTAGTCGTGAGTGGTGCTATGCTACATACGTGCTTGCTAAAAATATACACCAAGTAATTGCTTGCTCACTCTTTCCTATTGTTTTGCACTCTTGACTTAATTGTTGATTTTTTGGTACGCACACATAATCACCAAATGACAATGCAGTTACAAGTTCAAGTTCAGTAAGAAAGAAGATGAGATCTATTGGCAGCCTGAAAAGTTTGAAGTGAGATGGCTGGTGAATAGTGTGATTTTCGTTCTTTGTTTCATTTGATGAGCAACAATAACAACAAATGTAAATGAAATTCTGTAAGACAGACTCAAATCACGACACATGATAATCACATTGCAACATTTATATAATGAGTGAAAATGTACTCATTGCATAGTTCAAATGATCCCTACATATTTTTATGTAATTCCCAAATATTCAAGTTAATTAACTATGCAGATATACTTGCATATGTATGATGACAATATGCGCAATTTAGCGCAATT